TGAATGGCTCACTATGTGGCAGGCACACACTGTGTCAGTGTTTGTGAATGGCTCACTATGTGGCAGGCACAGGCCGTGTGAGTGTCTGTGAATGGCTCACTATGTGGCAGGCACAGGCGGTGTCAGTGTTTCCCATTGGCTCACTATGTGGCAGGCACTGCTCCCTCTGTGTTTCCCTTTGGCTCACTATGTGGCAGGCACGGACTCCCTATGTGGTTCCCATTGGCTCACTATGTGGCAGGCACAGGCCGTGTCAGTGTTTCTGAATGGCTCACTATGTGGCAGGCACAGGCTGTGTCCGTGTTTCCCGTTGGCTCTCTATGTGGCAGGCACTGCTCCCTTTGTGTTTCCCGTTGGCTCACTATGTGGCAGGCACAGGCTCCCTGTGTGGTTCCCTTTAGCTCACTATGTGGCAGGCATAGGCCGTGTCAGTGTTCTGAATGGCTCACTTTGTGGCAGGCACAGGTCGTGTCTGTGTTTCTGAATGGCTCACTATGTGGCAGGCACTGCTCCCCCTCTGTTTCCCATTGGCTCTCTATGTGGCAGGCCAGGCTCCCTGTGTGGCTCCCATGGCTCTCTATGTGGCAGGCACAGGCTCTCCATGTGGCTACCATTCACTACCTGCCTTGCCTCGTCTTTCTCCCCATGTGGCTCAGCTTGGCTCCCTTTCTGGCTGGCACTGCTCTCTCTAGGAGGCTGGCACCGCTCTCCGTATGTGGCTGGCACTGCTCTCTATAGGCGGCTGGCAGCGACTCTCTATAGCTGATTCGCCTTGGCGGCGTGGCTACCGCAGGCTCCCCACGTGGCTGGCACTCACTATCTGGCTCGCGCAGGCTCCCCTTCCGCTTTGCCCAGGCTCCCCTTCCGGTTTGCCCAGGCTCCCCTTCCGCTTTGCCCAGGCTCCTTTTCCGCTTTGCGCAGGCTCCCCTTCCGGTTCGCCCAGGCTCCCATTCCGCTTTGCGCAGGCTCCCCTTCCGGTTCGCCCAGGCTCCCTTTCCGCTTTGCCCAGGCTCCCCTTCCGGTTCGCCCAGGCTCTCCTTCCGCTTTGCCCAGGCTCCCCTTCCGGTTCGCACATGGTATCCACGTGGCTCGCAGCGCTCCGTCTGGCCGTGGCCCCACGTGTCCCCGTGCGTGCGGTTCGCCCCGCCGCTCCCCTCTGCTCGGCTCCGTTTCTCATTGCACCTCATTGCACTGCATTGCAGCCCGTGGCACCCACCCCCCCCACCCTGCCTCCGTCCCGCAGCCGCAGCGCCCCGCTCCCCCCGCCGCCGCCGCCGGCCCGCATCTCGTCCAGCCGCCCCTCGGCTGCCAATGGCTCACTTTCTGGCACGCCTCGGCTCCCCGTCCGCCTTGTAGCGGCTCACTTTTTGGCACGCACTGGCTCCCTTTCCGCCTCCCGCGGTTCTCCACGTGGCTCACATGGACTCCCTGGCTTGCGTAGGCTCCCTGTGTGGCTGGCACTGGCTCTCTGTTTGGCTTGCATTCACTATGTGGCTCGCCTTGGCTCCCTACGTGGCTCCCCTGGCTCCCTTTGTGGCTTGCACAGGCGCTCTATGTGGTCCCCATTGGCTCCCTATGTGGCTGGCACTGGCTCTCTATAGGGTTCCAATCGGCTCACTATGTGGCTTGCACCGGCTCCCTTTGTGGCTGGCACTGGCTCTGCATGTGGCTTGCATTTGCTATGTGGCTCACCTTGGCTCTCTATGTGGCTTGCATTGACTCCCTCTGTAGCTCGCCTTGGCTCCTCGAGTGGCTTGCATTGACTCCCTCTGTGGCTTGCACTGGCTCTCTATAGGCTTCCTACTGGCTCCCCACGTGGCTTGCACTGGCTCCCTGTGCAGCTGGCACTAGCTCCCTACGTGGCTTGCATTCCCTCTGTGGCTCACCTTGCCTCCCTGTGTGGCTTCCTCCGGCTCCCTTTGTGGCTTGCACTGGCACTCTATGTGGCTTGCCTCAGCTCCCAATGTGGCTTGCACTGGCTCCCTATGTGGTTCGCCTTGGGCTCCCTTTGTGGCCTGCCTTGGCTCCCAGTGTGACTTGCACTGGCTCCCTATGTGGCTGCCACTGGCACTCTATGCGGCTTGCATTCGCCACATGGCTCTCACTGCTGCCTCACGTGGCTCGCCTTGGCTCCCTTTCTGGCTCGCACTGCTCTCTGTTGGCTTCCTATTGGCTCCCTACGTGGCTCCCATTGGCTCCCTACGTGGCTTGCATTCACTATGTGGCTCCCCTGGCTCCCGTTGTGGCTCGCCTTGGCTCTCTATGTGGTTCCCATTGGCTCCCTCTGTAGCTTGCACCAGCTCTCTATAGGGTTCCAATGGGCTCCCTTTGTGGCTGGCACTGGCTCTCCATGTGGCTTGCATTTGCTACGTGGCTCAGCTTGGCTCCCTATGTGGCTGGATTCCCTCTGTGGCTCGCCTTGGCTCCTTGAAGGCTTGCATCGACTCCCTTTGTGGCTCGCCTTGGCTCTCTATGTGGCTTGCACTGGCTCCCTATGCAGCTGGCACTGGCTCTCTCTGTGGCTCGCCTTGGCTCCCTACATGGCTCCCTTGGGCTCCCTATGTGGCTCACACTGGCACTCTATGTGGCTTGCATCAGCTCCCTTTGTGGCTCGCCTTGGCTCCCAATGCAGCTGGCACTGGCTCTCCACGTGGCTTGCATTCGCTATGTGGCTGGCCCTGGCTCTCCACGTGGCTCGCCTTGGCTCCCTATGTGGCTCCCTTGGGCTCCCTATGTGGCTCGCACTGGCTCCCTCTGTGGCTCGCCTAGGCTGCCTGTGTGGCTGGCACTGGCTCCCTTTGTGGCTGGCACTAGCTCTCTATGTGGCTCGCATTCACTATGTGGCTTGCCTTGGCTCCCTATGTGGCTCGCACTGGCACTCTATGTGGCTTGCATTGGCTCTCTTTGTGGCTTGCCTTGGCTCTCTATGTGGCTTGCACCGGCTCCCTATGCAGCTGGCACTGGCTCTCTATGTGGCTTGCACTGGCTCCCTATGCAGCTGGCACTGGCTCTCCATGTGGCTTGCATTCGCTATGTGGCTTGCACTGGCTCCCTCTGTGGCTTGCACTGGCACTCTAAGTGGCTCGCATCAGCTCTCTATGTAGCTTGCACTGGCACTCTAAGTGGCTTGCATCAGCTCCCTATGTGGCTTGTACCAGCTCCCTATGCAGCTGGCACTGGCACTCTAAGTGGCTTGCCCTGGCTCCCTATGCGGCTGGCACTGGCACTCTAAGTGGCTCCCTTGGGCTCCCTCTATGGCTGGCACTGGCTCTCCACGTGGCTTGCATTCGCTATGTGGCTGGCACTGGCTCTCTCTGTGGCTCCCTTGGGCTCCCTATGTGGCTCGCACCGGCTCCCTATGCAGCGGGCACTGGCTCTCTATGTGGCTCGCACTCACTACATGGCTTGCCCTGGCTCCCTCTGCGGCTGGCACTGGCACTCTAAGTGGCTTGCATCAGCTCTCTAAGTGGCTTGCCCTGGCTCCCTATGCGGCTGGCACCGGCTCTCCACGTGGCTCGCCTTGGCTCCCTCTGTGGCTCCCTTGGGCTCCCTACGTGGCTCCCTTGGGCTCCCTATGCGGCTGGCACTGGCACTCTAAGTGGCTTGCATCAGCTCCCTATGCGGCTGGCACCGGCTCTCCACGTGGCTCGCCTTGGCTCCCTCTGTGGCTATCTTGGGCTCCCAATGTGACTTGCATTGGCTCCCTCTGTGGCTCCCTTCGGCTCCCAGTGTGACTTGCATTGGCTCCCTCTGTGGCTCGCCTTGGCTCTCTATGTGGCTCGCACCGGCTCCCTATGCAGCTGGCACTGGCTCTCTCTGTGACTTGCATTCACTATGTGGCTTGCCCTGGCTCCCTATGCGGCTTGCACTGGCACTCTAAGTGGCTTGCATCAGCTCCCTATGTGGCTTGCACCAGCTCCCTATGCAGCTGGCACTAGCTCTCCACGTGGCTTGCATTCACTATGTGGCTGGCACTGCCTCCCTCTGTGGCTCCCTTGGGCTCCCTGTGTGGCTCCCTTGGGCTCCCTATGCGGCTTGCACTGGCACTCTAAGTGGCTTGCCCTGGCTCCCTCTGCGGCTGGCACCGGCTCTCTGTGTCTCGCCTCGGCTCCGCCCGTGTCTCGCCCGGCTCCCCGCGCGGCCCCCACGGCGCCAGCCCCGCACCGCGCCCTGAGCAGCGCACGCATCCCGTGCTCGGTCGCCACTTCATTGCAGCCCGTCAGCCCCACGACGAGTCGTAGCCCGCCCAGCCCTCGTCGGGCGCCAGGTAGACGCGGCGCCCGCGGTGCACGAAGGTGACGACGCCGCGGTAGGCGGCCCTGGGCACGCCGGCCTTCAGGTCGTCCATGAGCCCCAGGGCCTTGGCGGCGGCGCGGAACGCGTCCCTGCCTCCGTAGCGCAGCCGCAGCGCCCCGCCGCCGCCGCCGCCGCCGCCGGCCCGCAGCTCGTCCAGGCGCACGGGGCGGGCGGCGCTCAGCTGCGCCGCCCAGCGGCGGTCGAAGGCGTCGCGCCGCAGGTAGCCGAGGTCCATGCGGGTGAAGGGCACGAAGCGGCGGTTGAGCGCCATGTGCCGCAGGTGCTGCTCGAAGAACTGGCCGTGGCTGACGCCCTTGCGGCCGAACGTGACGGTGCGGGACACCTCCGGCCTCACGCACGCCCGGCCGCGGCGCTGCTCGGGTTGCCGCATCCAATCGTCCCAAAAAGCGGGCGGCCACTTGGGCTCCAGCTCGTCCCAAAGGCGTTCGGTCAGCAGCCAACCCAAACCGGGGAAGAAATCGGTGCGGTACAGCAGCTCCGGTCGAGCGGCGTCCACCAGCTGCTCCTTGCCGTTGTCGTGCCAAGCGGAGACGCACCAAAGGCTGCCGTCCTCCAAGAGTAAAGGATAAACGGCTTGGAAATACTCGTAAAAATCCGGAGCCACTTCCAGGTCGTCCTCCACCACGATGGCGGCCGGGTAACGTAGGACGCGGAAAACGTGAGCCAAAGCCCACCGGTAATGACGGGAGATTTTGTAGTAACCCAAGAATTTGCGGTGTTCATCCGGGACGGATGGAGCTTCGGATCCGTGGGGAGGATGAAGGTGGGTGATGGAATCGCCGTAGGATGAGATGACGGCCGCCGTTTCGCGGTGCCCGCAGTCTTGGCTGACGATGATGGGGAAGCGTTGGGCCGAAGGACGATAGCGGAGTAAAGAATCCAAACAGCGGCGGACAGAAGTGCGGTCGCAAGCCAGGACCAGGATGGGGAGGGTGGGAAGGGATGGGGATGGGGTGGGAAAATGGTTTCGGGGAGGGTCGGG